AAAAGCTCAGACCGTTTTTGTACACCTAATAATAGAAAGATGGAAGAGCAGATTTGCGACCTGTTACAAATTTCTTCTCCAAATTGGACGTTTATGTAAGTTATTTGTATTATCACTTAAATTTAAAAAGTACATATTGTTTTGTAATATTTATGTAATAAATTTTTATATTATTTATTATACAAAACTTATTAAAATATTTATATTAAAGCCAGTTTCCAGAGATTTATATTAAAGCCAGTTTTTCCAAAGATTTTCAGCAAACTTTATCACGAATAATGCATGAGCTAATGAGAGCATTTAATTTTTCGTTAAAAATAATTTTCATAATTATTCTTTGCCAAAATTTAGAAGAATGGAGGCAAGCATCCTCCTTCCCTCATGTGCTTCCTTTTATTCACATACATATATGGATAATATTTATAGTTTTTTAGTTCTTATAGGTTTTTATATTGTAAGTTAAGACCATCTTAAGTATGGTTTTAAGATATCATAAACCAATCACAAAATCATATTAGCATCTTAAGATATTATTTTAGACAGTCTTAAAATAAGAACGGACTATAGCAGATATTCATAGTCTGTTTTTATTTTGAGATCATCTTATGGGCTGTCTACAATAGGAGTAATATTGTGTAGTAAGCTATAAGAAATTGACTAATCATAGTCAATTATTCTCCTCACATTTAGCTGTCTACAGTAGGAGTAATATTGTGTAGTGAGCTTTAAGAAATTGACCAATCGATTATTCTCCTTACATTTAACTGTGATTAGTCGATTTCTTAGGGCTTACAACTTACTATACCATATTACTTCCATTGTAAATGACCCTTTAAGTAATGTCTTAAATGCTAATACTATTCTGTAATTTATAACATTTTAAGACTATTAAATATAAGAACTGACTATGAACACCGACCATATAAATAAATTATATGATGGATAAATTACTGCCCCAGTCTGAGAACTGTGACTGATTCAGTTGACTGATAAAATTGTTTCTATTTTATTTTTTCATCGATATATTATAGAAAGAATACATTCTAATGTATATGTATTTCATTTATATAGGAAGATGAAAGAGCAGATTGTGACCTGTTACAAATTTCCTCTTCGAATCAGGCGTCTATGTAAGTTATCTATGTTGTCATTTAAATTTAAAAAGTACAGAGTGCTTCCACAACATACACATCAGTAAGTCGAATTGCCTATCTGTCTATGGGCAGAGACATGCTTTACTGGTAATGCAGAATAAGATTAGACCGCAAGCTTGGCAGAGAATGAGACAAGAGAAATTGAATTTTACATTCTGGTATAGTGTAAAATTCAATAATATGATATAAAATATGTATTTAATAATACAAAATAATATGTGACTTAATCTAACATAAATAAAATTTAATAAATATTTATTATAAAAATATATAATTATAAATTTTTTAATATGTATTAAATTTCATTTATGTTAGATTAAGTCAGATATTATTTTGTATTAAATACATATTTTAGGCCGGAATCAGACTACGCATTGAAGATATTGAGGTTGAAGATTGAAGATTGAAATTTGACCAATAAGGACAAAGAAATTTTAGCTCCTTTCGTTTTGATTGGTCAAATTTGAATTTTTTAATCTTCAATCTCAATCTTCAATGCGTAGTCTGATTCCGGCCTTATATCATATTATTGAATTTTACATTATACCCGAATGTAAAATTCAATTTCTCTTGTCTCATTCTCCGCCGAACTTGCGATCTAATCTTATTCTGCAGTAAAGCATGCTTCTGCCCATAGACAGATAGGCAATCCGACTTACTAATGTGTATGTTGCAGAAGCACCCTGTACATATTGTTTTGTAATATTTATGTAATAATTTTTGTCAGTATTAATTAACGATACACGCATGATGAGATAAATAAAACCGCCTACAGTCAATCTGAATGCATGTGACGCAAATGTTATTTCTGACAAATATTAATTTGAATGAGAAAATAAAAAACAGATATACATATCTTAGCGATATATCTTTTATTTTAGATATTCACCTGAAGAATGGATGAATGCAAAACTTAATCATAAGATGAGAAACTATGACCAGGATTCATAGTCTGGTCTTAATTTCAAGACTGCTTTAAGTAATGTCTTAAGATGCTCTTTGATTGGTTTATGACATCTTAAGCATTAGCTTAAGACCATTTCGAAACTTGAACAACGTCTATAAATTCCCCAATAAGAATCATGTAAGTCTAAAATTTCTTAATAAAAGTTTAATAGGAAAGATAACGTTGTATTGTAAAAATTAACTTTATTATCTAAAAAATTAAGACATGATGAATAAATAGTTATCCCTGTCATACGTAAAAATATGGTGATAAAATGATTTCCTGATATATTAGTATGTATTACTGATAACACAATTAAAATGAACAACCTTCAAGAGACTAACAGAAATAATTTTTTTCAGAATGTGAGAAATATGCAAGAGAACGTGTAAGAAGAATTTAAAGATGTTAATATTCATTATGCTTAGCATAATATATTGCAATAATATAATAAATTACACATCAAAATGATATTTTTTACAAAGTAAGAACTGTTTCTTGTTTTTAATATTTCTTGTTTAAATATATTTTTCTAATTGTAAAAGTTAACTTTATTATCTAAAAAATTAAGACATGATGAATAAATAGTTATCCCTGTCTTACGTAAAAACATGGTGATAAAATGATTTCCTGATGTATTAGTATGTATTACTGATAACACAATTAAAATGAACAACCTTCAAGAGACTAACAGAAATAATTTTTTTTCAGAATGTGAGAAATATGCAAGAGAACATGTAAGAAGAATTTAAAGATGTTAATATTCATTATGCTTAGCATAATATATTGCAATAATATAATAAATTACACATCAAAATGATATTTTTTACAAAGTAAGAACTGTTTCTTGTTTTTAATATTTCTTGTTTAAATATATTTTTCTAATTGTATGATGATTATAAATTTGACAAGCATATGTCTGAAAATTCCTTGCTGCTAAACTTTTAAATCTGATATCGAAATGTAATTATTTTAATTTTTTTGTAAAAATATTTTGTATATAAGGAATATTTTGTTTTAATTTCAGACTGATTAATTTGCAATGCGGTAACAATGCAATTGTGTGTGTGCGATCCATATATGGTAGATACTATTTGAAGGTAGTAGTAATAAAGGAAGGAAGAGATAATAGCGTTTGAGCGTTTGACGCTTGCAGTTGAAACTGTTCGAACTACAAAATTTCAGTCACTGGAATAAGAGCGACGGATCTGTCGCTTCAATTGCTTATTTCAACACGTAAAATTATACCTTCGTGATACTGTAGTTTACCTTACCAATGGACTGGAAATTCACAGGAAATGGAAAAGAAGAAAAATCTGAAAAGTTCCTCTTTGATTATCAAGTTATAGAATCTGGATGCCACTATTTACGAGTCAGTTGTTTTTGTCACGGAGTCATACGTTATCACTATTTGAAAGTAAATATTAAAGAAAATACTAAATTACATAAATTATATTAGAGATATAAAATACAAAATATGATGTTATTAACTATACGCTATTCTGAGTTTTTTCTATGATTGGCTCTTGCCCTCGCTGATCTTGTTGCTAGAAAAAAAAGAATTCTCTTTTTTATATTCGATCTTAAGATAACAATTTTTGTTGCAGATGCGTTATCAAATGGGGCATTAGCACTTTAAGAGAATATCTGATGTACAGGTAACAAATCGTTAACATTAATTTAGTTTATATAACGTCTTTAAGTTTTTTTATTAATATTTATAATATGAAATCAAAAGAGATATAAATCATTGCAACGCAAAAAAAAGCTAAAGCCTATTCTACAATGTGCTTTTTGTTTTTTGCTATTTTTTTATATCTTGTCTTTTTGTTTCTTATCCAGTTATTTGTTTTATGCCCGAGATAAAAGTTAACAAACTTCGGAAGAAACAGGAAACACGTAGCAAACGATTGTCGATAAAACAAAGGGGGAAAAAGCAAGAAACAGGAAATAAAGAGCACATTATAGAACAGATTTAAAACTCGTCAGAGAACATTCATGACATTATGTTATATTTTTTAATGATGCTTTTTGTAAATATACGCTATGATGTGTAGTGATAATTAAAAACTTACTGAAATAATGGATAAATAAAATAAATTATAATTAATTTTAGTATATTTTGTTATTTGAAAAGTTTTGTTTTACTTTTTAGGAAAAGAAAATGGAAGATAAAAGGAAATATGGATCGCAGGTGTATGATAAACAAGATAAAATAAATCGCGAATATATTCCATAGAAATATGATTCTTTTATTGGAGAACCTTTACATCTAAGGTACAAAATGCAAAGTAATACGCGTTCCTTTTGGACTAGATACCCATTCCACGAGAAATAGTGTTAATGGTTAATTGTTAGATTGCACCAAGGTATTGCAAATTTGTATTAGCAATCGCGTCGATGACTCGTCAACGTTGTACGTAACGCTATTACCAGATTTCATCCGTACGTACGTACGAGAAACATTACATTAATTTCGTTAATTTTCGTTTCATGCGAAGTGACTGGAACAACGTAAATAATAATTAGGATCAAGATCTTGGCGAATAAAACTGTCCTCCAAATAAAATAAAAGAGGCGGATCGTAATATTTCGTTTCCTAAAATATCCAAACTCTATTATGTATAATATTTAATAACATGATATATGCTTATTGAAATCGATCCTACTTTAAGTGAACGCATGGTAAGATCTGATCGATCACAGAGAGCTGATAATAATTTAACGCTCGGTGCATAACACAAGGACACGAGGAATACAATCTCGAAATTATATATAATATATATAACGTAAATATACTATAATACATAACAAAGGGCGTGCCAGCCAGCCAGGCTGTCCCAGAATAATCAATATATAGCGTGTAAAGATTCAAAAAAGTACTTATTCTAAATCGCCAACGAACAGCTCACGTTATACCTCTATCTTGTATCTAAAGTGTGCAATGCCATTACAACTATGTACATTATAAAAATCACACGCGCTCGCGGGCAAGTTGGTCGCGTCTATACTTCTGTAATAATTCGTCAGCCGCATCGAAGGCCGGTAGAATGGAAACTCATGTTCTCGTCCTTGACGCCGCCTGATCATTTTCTCAAACGTCATAATCGCCATATGAACAAGAGATAAGATCGAGTGTTCCATGGAATGAACGAGCTAATTGATATTGTGTTCGTACTTTTCCTTTCGTGAATCACATTGAATATTGGTAGGAATTTCCCGTCAGACGGCGCAGAAATAAATTTCCAACACTGTCGATGATATTACAAGATACGATTCTAACGTTACGAGATTCAGTTTTCCTTCACAATTTATAGCTAAACTCTTTCGAGTACGATACATTCCTTATTAGATAAATATTTTTCCATACTGTGAATGTATTTCCACGTTCGTAATATAGTACTGTCATGTGCCAATGGCTGCGTTAGTAGAAAAAGCAGCTTTACAACTGTTGTAAGGTTCTTTAATATGATTACACATTTTATATGATTCTTGAATATGATTTATACATTTAGTGAGGAACTAAAGGCAAGACCAATCGTATAAAAAAATTTTACAGTTGCAAAGTCGCTTTCTTTGCCGAACGCAGCTATTGATTAGTAAGTTAAAAAATTAAATTTGGTCGTCTTGTTTTTAGCGATGATTTCGTATGAATCCAAGGAGTGGGTGCACTTTGTGTTCCATAATCGATATAAAAATTTCATTTTCTTATATATGTGGAGTACTTCTTAAAGATGTAAAAAGACACTGTAATGATCATTACAAATCTCTCTTTACAAGCTATCTATAAGTACAATTAATATTAATGAATATATTAGAGTTTATACATTAGACACAAAATACCCTTCTTCTCTCCTGAAAGATTCATAATATTTAGACATTTTGAGTGCACCTGCGTTTGCGCCGATATGGTTAGACATAATTTGTGTCACATGTCAAGCTCTCGGGATTTTACTCTAACACCCTGTTGTTTAGATCGCGTTAGTCATACGATATAAAATTACGAACGTATCTTGTTTCCGTCCTTTCAAAGAAGAGGAAACTTCTTGTCGATAAACCTTCTTAGCGTTCCAAAGTTAAAAATTTCGAAATTTTTCTTTCGAATGTATCAACATTCATTTCCATTACATGGCTATCTTCCTGAGTGACCGCTAGCACCTTTCGCAGAATATTTATATGAACTACGGCACTTCTGACCGTTGCCGTTTGTTATACCGATATACTATACATCATATCTACATTGAGCATGTCGTCTGCCAGCTGTCACAACTGGAGCCGGTAATTTGTGATAGGGTCGAAGTCTTTTTGGTGAGTGGAATTTAAGGCCATCACGTATCCCCACAATCGCATAGCGGTCGCGCATACCTTCTGTATTTCATGAACCTCTTCGAAGTCCAAGTCGGTCCTCCAGTGAAATGGCGCGACCTTGGAATTCCGGAAAGTGCTTGACACACCACCCACATCGTTCTTCGTGTGCGTGTCCAGGAATTTCTTCACGTTTATGTGAAAGTTCAAGCCGTAAAAATTGTAAAGCTCCTGCACGTGCTTATAGGGATCCACGGACAGGTCCTCGTAACGCACTACTCTGTATCATACACGACATTGAACTTGAGTATCTCGTACCAACAAAATTATCAGTAATAAAGTAGGTAATGATTTTAATAAATCGTTTGAAAATTACGTGTAAGATAATTTTTTGTAAATACCGAATATATGGTTCGGAAAATTTTTTTAATGATATTATGCAGAGCTATACCTGAAAGAACGGGGATATTTTTTTGACAGTTCTACTGCCGCGTTGAAATCCGATACCATGTCTGCGCAGACCAGAGCAGGATCGGAGCAATCGGGTTTAGCAGGACACCATTCCCTATGCTTTCTGGATTGCAGAATGCCTCTCGGATCACGAATGAGTAGAACTAGTCGTACACCTAGACTGCAATACAAATGAACACATATTTTATGGTACAAAAGAATATGTTTAAATAAGATCTAATGTTTTCTCATGGTTTTTATATAATTTCTTACTCTTCTTCGGCCAAAAGACTCTCTACCGCATGCAACCTCAATCGCACAAGCTTCATCGATTGGAACGGAAAGAGTCGGCAAAACTTGGAGACGAAACGCGGATCCCAGCAAATGCGTTTATGCGCTTGGCATTGTCGCCATAAATGCGTATTATGATTAAATACCCAAGGATGAGTTTTCCCATAATCCAGGTACCGATCTATTACGATAATTACGATTGTATGCAATCATTAAACGATGCGCCTTCAAGCGAATAGCAATTTAAAGATATGTGAAATTATATACCGAGCTCCTTGTATTCACAATTCAGTAACGAGAGTATCCTTGTCAAGGATTCTTCGGCGAGCGGCGATCCTCGGATTTGCACAATTCCATAGTCGAGCAACGGTTCGTAATGATAAAAATTGGCCGGATGCGCGTTTACTACATCACCGAGGAACGTGCTGCCACTTCTCCAACTCGTCAGAATTACGCTTCTCATAGGTCTACCACCCTTCTCCATCACTAAATCTTCAAGTTTGCTATAAACGGATAATGGTTAAACGTTTCAATTTTCAACAATACGAAGTTATGCTCTGGTGCGTGTAATTTACCTCATATTTATCCCGTATTTTCCGTTTGGATATTCATAATTTTCCATTTCTCTTTTAATCGCCCTCCTTTGTTGATCAACCACCTCTTGAATTTCGGTGATCGTGGCATTGTCCGCGGATCCTGTAATATACGCCTAAAAAGTAAATTAGGATCAATTATTAAATAGAAAATTCTCTCGCTATTTGTTAGCAATATTACATAAATGCAGTATTAAAAGTTATTACATCTTCGTAGCAGGTATGCGATAACATATCCTAAACAAGAATAAACAGAAATAAATTCACATTTTGAAATTTAATCACATAAAAGCAAATTTCTACAGCAGGCCGTTCAATCATTTCATTAGTTTTACAAAGACAAATTTAAAAGTTATATGAATTATATGAGTGTTAGTTTATTTAAAACAGTAGTTATATCTTCATATTTTTATATTTAAAAAATGAAATGTAAAATGTAATACAGATGATAAATATCGTTTATATTTCATAAACAAGCAAGGTAGACATTTAAATTCATAATACAAAAACAAAGTGCGTTAGTAAAAAGCTAACACAAGTAAAAAAAATATATATACCATATATACAATGAATAGTTACATTATGATATGTTACAAAATAATAACGCAATTCAATAAATAAATCTTAGTATGCGACATCATGTAATAAAGAAAGATAAAGTTTTAAAACGCAAATTAATTTTCTTTATTAAAAATATAAAGTATTTCTGTCTTTTTTTTACTTATGCTATCTTATTTGCTTCTATCGGTTAAAAGCAACGTCGTTAATAATATTTTTAAAATATAAATACGTACGTTTTAAGAAGTAAAAATGTATGTTTTATTATATATTAGAATTAATAACATAGAAAAAAAGTTGCAAATAGAAAAAAAAGTGTCTCTGTAAGGACAGAAATCGTGGCTATTTACGCTTTTCGCTATGCTTGCTGTGACAATATTACGATAAGATAAGGCATTCTAACGATAAGTGGCACTCTATCAGCAAACAGTCATTAACAAGTGGTAGCATTTACGCATTCAGATCAATACGTGCATACCTGGCTTACCGTTACCGGCTCTTGGATTTTGGTGGTCCGCGGCCTTATCTCAACATCCTATATCGAGGAAGAGAAAAAAAGCATCGACGTTTTAGCGTTTCTATTGTGCATCTCGCGTCGTGATCGTGATATGAGATAATGATCTTTCTCCCTCTTTCTCTAGGTAGCGTGTTAATGTTTTCAAAAGGATGCAAGTGCGAGCAGTACGATTACTCATACATTGTAAATCTATCGTATCGTAAGAGTGATAAAAAGTGTCAATCTACGCGTAAACATGCTGCGTACCGATCGTGTAACTTTTTCTCTAGAGCGAAAACGTGAAAAGTGAAAAGTTTTTATACGTATGCGTGTACACACATACATTTCCGCCCTAGAAAGTTACACGATTGATCCCCTGGCTTCGATAATTAATCATATTACAGGTGTCTCTTTTGATAACAAATTTCATACGAATTATCAAATATTAACTATTATATAAAGAAGGTGAATTACAACAAGCCCATTGACTTACGTCGATCTGATTTCCAATAAATTGACGTCTCCGATAGAAAATGTTAAACTTTACAAAATGTTTTTAAGCGACCACAGTTGTTCCCCTGATAGCAAACTGACGTCAAAATGATGACCTTTGACATCAAAATAACGATAAAATGACAGCTTGCTACCAGAGTTCTTTGATATCAGTCTATTTTTTTTCATCTGAACTTCTTTCAGATGAAAAAATAGGTTTATTTTGTAAATGATAGCAAAACGACGCATGAAAGGGAGAAAGAAGAGAGATGGAAACAGGGAGAAAGAGAAGTCGCGTGTCGGTTCCTTGTGCGTCACTTCACGTTTAATGTTCAAGAGAAATGGATAAAAAGAAGAGAGTTAGGTGCAAAAGTTAGACTTTTACCGTCAGAAAGAGCGTGTTTGGCGTGACTCAATTTAGAGCAATCCCCACCTCCGAATTTTTACTGACCGATATCACCGGCTGCAGTCGATGCTCAAGGTAGCTGCTGTAGCGCTGGTTAAACGCTAGGAAGAAGATGCAGACGGACGCCAGGGCTACCAGACAATAGAAACTCAGCCGCTTCGACATCCTTAATCCTAGAAAGCGCAGGAACTTGAAAAGACAAAAGATCATTTATGCAGATTGGCGCAATGCACAATGTACGGCGGGGCGAGGAACGCGATCGCGATTGTAAAGGTGTCGACAAGACATTTTATCGGAAAAATATTTATTTATAAGTATTATTTATTGTTATCAAGATAACAATAAATTATTTTTATAAATAATCGTTAAGTGCGATGCACTTGATTATGCATCGCAAATAAGGAAAATAACGGTCAATAATACGAGATTGTTAATAAAAATAGTTAACAATATGTTTACAGTATGTGTTCAAAAATTAATAATACATTTACTCACGTTAAAAAATTAATAATATGAAATAATGTGTATCATACTACACTTTTTATTAATTTATTATTACTGACTTTGGTACACACGATAATTTTCCTTTATTACACACGATGGGTCATTCGTGTCCGGGATCAATTATCATCATTTTAACAAATATACAAAAATTATTAAATGTTTCTTACATATACATCTTTAGAAAATATTTGTAAGGTTGCGTATTTAAAAAAAATTATATATAAATGTTATAACTAATTAATTGATGCTCCTAATTTTTCGAAAAAAAGAAATGTGCAGAACACGAATGAATCCAATCGAGTGTATTAAGAGTTCATTTTTTAACATGATAATAAATACAAATTGTTAACTTCTTTATTTTCCTTAATCCGTGGTTAACGATTTTTTTCACTATTTTTCTAATCCAACTGGGTCACTGATGCCTGATTATGTTTTTTTTCCCCGAAGGGACTCTTTTTCGGACTCTAGAAAAATCTGAAAAAATTCTGGTATACCTACTTTTTCAATATTCAAGAATACGAATGACCTGAAGTTTTTAATTTTTTTGTACGTGTCCGAATTTGAAGCAGAATAATTTAAAATTGAAAATTCGTTTGGGTGTTTATAAAGCCCCGGTTGAATCACGGAGAGTTAAATAACTCATTGATCATTATACGTTCTTTACTCAAACAACATATTGCAAAAACAACGTGATAGAATTTCGTAAATTTACTCGATATTTTACACAATGAATGAACTTTTCCTCGATTATTGGAATAACAATGAAACTTCAAAGTTCAGAGGGCGACGCGAGAAGCGGAAAAAAATGAATATTCAACGTTTTATTTTTCACCGAATGTCCGAAGCGCAAAACTGTTCACAGTAATTAAACGTTACACGATTAATTATACGCCGCGATTAAATGAAAACTCGACCGTACGAATCTGAGTCTGCTCGTGCTTATTAAAAATTTCCTTGTGTAATAGCGATAAGAATTAGCGGTGTGTCCAATTAAATAAAACAACTACAAGGGATAACCTCGGGATAATTTTTTCTTTCTTCTCTGCGGCGATAAACGGGGGCGCGATAAGACACGAGCGCGACGAAACGATCGATAGGAATTAAATCAACGGGCGGCACAGAAACGGGAGTCGATTCGTCTCACCTTCCGCGAAATATGATCCGCTAGATGAGGCCTCGCCATGGCTCGTCGTCGCTTGTGGAAAACGCCGTTCCTTCACCGCGACCGAACACCGGCGATTGTCGCACGTTGCCGCGACGCGGCATAATAGCGGAAAAAAAACAACTGTTTTTCGCGTAATCACCGCGAGCGATATTCCGAAATTCGATTCACGAAACCTCGTCGACAAAACGAAGGCAGAGTTTGTCCCACTTTACATTCTTAAAAAATTTACTTAAATTTCAATAAATATTTATTTGGTACTAACTACATATTTACTTACAGTAAATAAATATTTATTCAATAAAAAAATTATATTTAAATAAAATTAATGATTCTTGTACCAAATAAGTATATATGTTTATGTTTAATAAATATAAGTTAGTATTATTTAAATAAATATTTATTAAAATTTAGTAATTTTTTTCAGTGCACCATCGAATTTTATAGCGAGTTTGCATTATACTCGTACATTATAGCAAAAGCTGCTGAAATACGTGAAGTTAAATGTAAAAGCATATGAATATTTTAATCGATAAAGTACCCGATAATGATATCGTCACGTTATTTAATAGAGTATAGATATATGTATTATTTCATTGTCGAAGTTGATTATATTATGCCACTGCATTAAGTACTTTATATAAGCAGCTATTAATGTGCACTGTGATCAAGTGATCGAATTCACTATTAAATGCGCCGTACACGCACCGAGTCATACACACGTTTAGCATCCAGCTATTTTTTAAAGCCACTCTAAAATTGCGTAAGCATAGTTGTTAAGTGGTTGTAGTTGTAAGAATTGATGAAACACAGTCTGTCAAATATGAAGAGAATATTCAACTCGGTGATCGGTGAATTCTTACTAATAGAGTTGCCATAAAACTGGAAATCACGGAATTGTCAAAGAAATTGAAAATGATCAAGAAAATCTAGGAAAAGACGGGGAAAATTTTTTGGAAAATTAACATTTTTAGCTTCAAAGAAGTTTAATATTTGTACGTCACACTTATGCTGTTTTGGAATATTACCAACTTAACAATTAAACGTAAGTGTCAGCACTTAACAATGTTAATTAACATTGCTATGTTAAATTGCTCTCTCAACGAAATATTTGAGATGGTTTCTAAGTCAGAATAAAAATACAAAAAATTTCAAAATATAATATTATTGAGAGCATTAGGAAAAAAATCATGAAAAATTTTATTTGTAGATCAAGGAAAAGTTAAGGAATTTTAGGATGAGGAATTTTTTATGACAATTCTGTACACGGAAATGACGATTTTACTAAAGTAGGTATCTAAAAATTTAGCTAGATACAGATCTGAAAATAACTTTGTTGAATCACTAAAATAATTATGTGACGCTCAAATTGATTACTAAAATGGCAAAATTTTTAGCATTGCTCATCATGCTTGATTTTCCTACGTAATTATTTATATGGTCCAATAAAATTATTTTCAGATTTGTAAAATAAATATATCAATTAATAGATAATGGACCAAAACTAATTATTGGACGAAATGATAAATTTTTTAAAATATTAAATTCTTAATGATAAATAGAACACTTTAAATAAATTTGTTTATAAAAATTGAATAAGACGAATTTATTTAAGATTGTACGTATCACTAAAAGCTTAATATTTAATATTTTTGTTATTTTGTCCAATAATTGGATAATCATTCCCACTAACCGATACATTTACTTTATCTAGCTAAAATTTTAGATGCTTCATCAAAATCGTTCTTTCCGTGATACGTTTACGCATAAATGCAGAATGGGTTTTACGTTTCGCGCGTTCGCGAACATGAGAAGAATTCGCGTGTCGATAATTCGGAGCCCCACTGAATTCACTTTCCTGCCGTATTCCCGATCGCTCGTTCGTCCGCACGAATGGGGAAGGTGGACCGGCTTGTTTACGGGATGATCGCACGTGCACGAGCAACGCGTTCCGGGAACGGTGAGAAAAACGACGTCGTTTCGAACGGACGCGACAGTGGCTGGCGCGCGCGAATCACGATCACATTCGTCTTCGTCGGTTGCACTCCCTCGCGAGGCCGAGTGCGGCGGACACGCTTCTCCATTTCGTTCCTCGATAATTACGCGGCGATAAGCACCGACCACGAAAATTCGTGAGGGTCGGTGGCGGAGGAGGAGCAGGATGAAGAGGAGGTGGAAAAGGAGGTGGTGGCCACGCTCTTTATCGCGTCCGCCAAATGCAATGGAATTCTCCCTGTCTCTCTTTTCTCTCTCACCTCGGAATCGTGCTCGTGCACTCGCTGCCGTACATTCGGCCAGCTGAATTCAATCACGACGCTGGAGTAACAACGGGAGTCGCAGCGACGAGCCGCGGGG